AGCAATTCATTTTACCTGCTCCTGCTGATGAGCATACATTTCAGACTCTGGCACCAAAAACCACTTTGCTTACTGTTTGTTGCAGGAAATGGTGTCCATGGTTTAGTTGTAGGGTTATAGAGTGTGAAGCTGGCTGGATGTGTGGGTTAGCAAGGGGCCAAACAGGGGCTGAGACATGAGAGGAGACAGACAGGGGGGTTTGGAGACCCTGTCGTCTTACTTGGGCGAGCAGTAGTCCAGAGCGTAGTAGGAGTGGGGCAGTGTGGCCCAGCCTGCCTGGCAAGCGTACAAAGGGCCGACAGTTTGATACCTCAGCCGCACCGAACTGGACGAGGCACCGAATGCAGCGGCTGCAAAGGCAGACGGGGGGCTAGTGGCACAAGCCATCTCAGTCATGCTGGTCATGCCGTAACAGGGGGGGCGACAAAAAACAAAAACCCCACCCCGAATCACAAACACACAGGCAGAAATGGAAGATAAGTTGATGAGAAAAGGGGAAGTAAACAGAAAGAAAGGAGTAGAAAAATCAGGGACTGAGACAAAGGAAATATTTTCTAGGGATCCCAAGTAGGTCCTTTTTTTCCTCTATTAACAAGAAAAAGGGGTTTAAATAACTTCAACCAGTGTGAGTTTGAAATACAAATATACATTTTCACACAGGTTGAGTAGAAAAGTCTCTAAAACAGTATTTATCTAAATCTAAAGAACTACATACAGACTTCAGGACCCACAACAATGATCTCACTAACAACAGTTTACTGACAAGTGGGAAAAATCAAATTCTGCTCCCTGTACTGATTAAGATTTACAATCATCCTCCTCTCACCTGTTCTCTTTCCCGTTAGGAATGACGGAGAGGCGGTCTGTGTTGTTTCTGTCACTGCAGACATACGTGTTCCTCCTGGTCATACCCGCAGATGCAGTGTTATTCTGCAAACAGACAAATGCATTGCTTCAATGGATGACCTTTTTTTTTTTTAATGAAAGGCTCAAAGAAACATGTGTTACAGCAATTAAAGCACAGTGTACTTAAATTCAGTCTATCATGCTGCCAATCTCACCAAATTCGAGTGAGTTTTGTTTAAAATTGGAAACAATGCAGCAGACTTTAGAAGTAAAACTTGTTTCCTGTATACTGTACTGATAAGTCCCTCGTGTCTTTGATCTCTTAAACATTTGCATTACTCGATTGTATATTAGAAGTAGTACTCGTCTGTCACATTTTGTATCGCCACAGAGGCTTATTGTGGTCGATGTGGACAGGTGGATTCATCCGCTGAAGGAAAAATGGCAGCCATATTTTATTGGACAATCTGAAGTGACTCACACAGAGACTGCCACGTCATGGTTTGGTGGCTTTAAAGTGATAGAGTGCAGCTTAAAAACATTTCCTAATCTCCAGACCATGAGACTGAATCACATTGTTAAACAATACTCGGGCATTGTTCGTTGTGTAAATCTGAACAACTACATTGACACACAAAACCAGAGCTCAGGAGTCGATTGCTCGCTTGTTTTTTTTGTTTTCCCTTACAAGGTGGGATCACATGTGATGTCACCTGTTAGAGGAAGCTTTACCCATTTATGCATCATTCTCTCACAGATGGATCTGAACACAATAAAGTCTTTATACCATTATTTCCCCTTAAATGCAGTGGATTTCCCCAACGCCAGGAAATACACACTGATGTGTAAAATTGGAATTTCCTTTTAAGTAACCATGACAGCCACTGTCACTAAACACTCTCATTTAGCTTAACCCCCCCCGAAACTCTCATACAAAAACAGAGCAGACAATTAAGTTTAACTTTCAAGCCAACTGCTGAAACACTCACGCTCGGGGCCGTGGTGGCTCCTTTCCTGCGGTCAGGGATGTCAGCCTTGTTGGGGTTGTTGGCGTTGCCCAGCAGAGGGCTGGAGGGTGGTGCCCCGCGGGTTCCTGGGATGCTCGGTTTACGGAGCTGGACTCCACCTTCCTCTTTCACGCTGTTCTCAGCAGTAGTTGTCTGACTCCTCTTTGGATGAGCCATCCCTGGAGGGAGGTTCTGACCAACTATAGAAAGAGAAAGTATAATTATCAGAGTAACGTTTGCGGGATGACTCAAGAACACGTCTACCTCTGTCAGCAAATACAATTTTTAAAGAACCTACATTCTGAAAAAAAAAAAAGAAATATGACCCAGACTTAGTCAAACATAATTATAGTTACAATTTACAATATAATCATCATCACATTAATGTTTGTTTTTCTTTTAATCCATGGTGGCCTTGAATCAGGTTTCACCATTTACTAAATGAATAAGGTCGTCTTCTTAAATTCCCAAAATATCAGCTGAAAATGCCACAGTCGTTTTTGAAATCACAGTTAACAATGGTTGAATGATGGGTTTCTGCTGGAGTATAAAAAGCTTCTCAGTGTTGCCACTTAAGCTGCAGATCTCACAGACAGGAAGCATCGCAAACTGAGGTTACTGACAAAGCATTATATCACAGTGGACAACACAGAGCTGTGCAAACAAAGGAAAGGCTAAAGTGCCTCTACCATGTGACAGGTTTCGATTTGGCTTCTTTTATCAGCTGAAAACAAGCAACTGACAGAAAAGTACTTTTATTATTAGAGGTGAAGTACAGCAGAGTTTCAAGTCTGTTCTTTTTCACGTGACATTGAAAAGGAAAGCTAGGACCGCGACACTGTGTTTCACACAATGAAGAAAACAACACAGCGTGGACTGCTCACCTTGCTCGCTGTAACGTCTCTGTTTGTGGTTGGAGGAGACGCTCCTCTGGACTTTGAGGTGGGAGGGCGACTGGCCGTTGAGCTCACTGCTTGGCCTCGGTTTGGCCAGAGACAAGTTGCTGCTGGAGGCCGAGTCGCCGGGCTCCAGCTGAGAGACAAAGGACACATACAGAACATAAAAACCCTCAGTTTCTACAGTTTTACTACAGTGAATGTGATTTATGAGTCAAGACAGACCAAAAATCTAGGGCACATGATATGCGATCAAAATAATTTGTGTGTACAAAGGATCATTTTAAAACTATTATTTCTGATGAGTGAGGAAGCTGTCATTTGTGAGCTAAGAGCTTCAGATGGCGACTTCAGACCCACTTTGTTTCAATTCCTGCACCTTTATTTATATCAGAACCAAGCCCTCATGGACAGTAAGGGGACTTACATGACTGCTTAATTAGCTGTCTGAAAAAAATGCCCCAAATGCCAAATCTTTGACAACAAACTATTTCACATGATCAAATTTAAAACCATTAGGCTTAACAAACGGAAAAAGCCCCCAAATGCTTCAAATCAACTATTTTAATGCACTTTAATATGTGGCGAGAGTCTGCAAACAAGGTAGAAGTCTATAAATAGCTGAGTCACACACTGGTTTACAAACCACTGATAGCTGAACGACTGAGGAACTAAGACGTTTGTTATGTTTGTACCTCAGAGGCCTTCCTGCCCAAGAGCAGGTAGGTGGCTGTGATCTCATCATACTTCATCTTGGCCAGAGAGTCCTGGATTTCCTCCAAGTTGTAGCCCATCCCGACCATCACGTCTGCACAAACAAAAATGATCAAAGGCTCAATTTAATAACCACTTTTCACGACACCACTGAAACTAAAAAGGGACACTGTAGATTACTGCGGGGGTCTACATTGACCTTACTTTTAGACCCTTTCACAGTGATCTCTGGCGATTCCAGCACAAAACCAAAACATGACTATTTCTTTTAAAAAAACTTTGTTTTAAAGTTATGTGGTTATCAACTTTATGTCAAATCTATGTTATTAAACTGACTTGCTTCTCTTAATGTGATTTTGCATTCAAGAATTAATTGTGTGTGTTTATTCTGGTGACTGAGCCGTGCAGGTTTATGATCCCGTGATATGCGGTGGCGCTACAGCGGATATCACGGGATCGACTACATTACACTAGAAGTTTGTAATGCAGTCAAGCTAGACACACAACGTCAGAAGCTTCAGGCAGTGAAGTTCAGCTAATCGACTTCCTGCCTTTCTGGTTCACCTTTGAAGCAAAGCAATGCTGACTGGAAAGGGTTTGGAGTGTGAGGACACCACTTTTTTCTGAAAGTCTAATTCCAAAGTTAAACTCAGACTACTTTTAAATTCCAAATCACAGCTGTAGTTGGGTTCAGAGCAGTCAGATATGTAATCTGCTGTGTTTCATCTGAACAAATAGACACCTAACAAGTTTTTAATGAATGTCCACACATCAAAGCTGCGTGAAAAACTAATACTGGCATATGGTGGGAAAACATACCCAAGAGTCCCAACACAGGAGAGATCATCGTCCATCTCTCTGATTTGTGGGTATAGTTTGATCTCATCTTAAGCCAAACTTAAATCTGTTTCTAACCCTTACCTACCCTTTGAATGTTGGTCAAGCAGCGAAGACACAAGAGAACTGTCTCCACTCACAATGTATGAAACTCAAATTTGTCCTCAGGAGACAGATTTACAGAGAAAGACATGCACAGCTTTGACACTAAGCTTCCTCATTGTCCAGGTCACGTGTGTGGCAGCACACCAGGTAAAGCTGGGTCGTCTTCCTCACTACAGATCCAACATGATTTGTAAATATATTTTGCTGTGTGTGTAGGGCTGCT